ATATATATATATATACTATACATACTATATATATATATATATATATAAATGCAATACGATACTATACAATACAATACAATACAATAAATATATAGATCTAAATACATCTATATACATCTATATGTATATATATACATATACATTAAAACATATATATATATACAACCACACACCGACCTACCTACTGTACGCGTGACTGTCCCACGTTCCATTCCCTGTGACATCCACAGTCACTGTCTCCATGGCAACGGCATGCAGAGCCCCTTGGAACACCACATCCTGACACCCTTCATATACAACAGTCATTTCTCCTAGCGCAACATCACAGTTCGCACCTGTCCATCCGTCCGCACATCGACACGTGTACCCGCTGGCACCGTTCAGACATACTCCCCAGTTGAGGCACAGTGGTGCCTGAGAATGAATATAAAGACGAAGTGTCAATATATAATAAAGGGCAAAGAAAGGCTTACAGGCGAGAATCGAACATAAATAGAGGATGAGCGTATATTCCATGCCTTTAAAAAGGATAAAATACATAAGAGAAAATCAGTGTACATTCATTTTTTTTTTTGAAAAGGATAAGTTGATACTGCATCCCTCAATACAGACAGAATGGTGCCAAATAAGCAAAGGGACTGCCTGAATAAGGGGTTCTAGGGTTAAAAAATAATAAAACGCGCCCCGTCGAAGTATTGGCAGGAGTTGGGTTTGAGTAGTATATTAATACAAATCTACATAAAAACTTTCATACCTACCTACCGCTTCTGTTGATGTGCTGCAAAAGTCTGTACCCCATCCAATTGTAATGTTTCCCTCCGCACAACACTGCTCACGCACAATCTATCTATACAAACCTATTTATAGAACACTGTATATCTACCTACCGTTTCTGTTGATGCGCTGCAAAAGTCTGTACCACATCCGATTGTAATGGTGCCGCCTGCAGCCGTGAGATCAGTCATGAGCCCGCCTATACCAGACACCACCTGGAGGCCTGTCTTAGTGTCGGTCTCACATTTGGCGTACTGATTGTCGTACCGGCAGAATTTGAAGCGTACATGTACATGTGAGACTAAGTACTAGAGAAGGAATCGTATCTCATTATTTTTGTGTCCAATTTTGAAAATAAATGAAAAGAAAAAAAAGTACCTGTCCTGTCACATGCCCGCATCGGGCGACCAAAAATGAAAAGATTAGAAAGCGCACAATAAGACATTCGATGCACTGACTCAGTAGATTCCGACTGCCTGGCATTGTTTGTAACATTCGTGACACAATTGTGGTATCGTATGTCGTACAGGTGATTTAAATCGTGTCATGTCATGACATCTCCAAAGATGTGACTAACTTCTTGTCATGTAATTGTCGTGACAGAATAGTCCTATTGTATATTGTACAGGTGATTTGTATCGTATTATGGCATGACATCTCGCCAAAGATTCGACTAACTTCTTGTCGTACAACTATACGACGGATATTTGTTGATGATCTTTACCGCGGTCACCACGCACAGGTCTGCGGGTTCCCGGTATACTAGATACATATAATTGTCATGCTTTTTATTGACTATCAGAAACATGGAGTACGACACTAGTCGTATTACTCGTGGTGGGATCAGAAATCGTATAATGTTCATAAGACTTGCAATATGTGCGAGACATATGAACTCACCCATACTGAGCTCCAGTCCGATTGATAACAAACCTAATAGCTTATAGGTACACTCACAAACACGTGTGCAGCAAAGAAACAGCTTGTACATAGGTACCCAGGCATACATATACGTCTATATGAGTAACAAACCTAATAGCTTATGGATACACTCACAAACACGTGTACAGCAAAGAAACATCTTGTATATAGGTACCCAGGCATATATGTACGTCTATACGAACAACAAACCTAATAGCTTATGGATACACGCACAAACACGTGTGCAGCAAAGAAACATCTTGTACATAATACGAACAAATACTAGAAAGGAACACTAAAATAAGAAACACAGTCGCAAATGTGTCACTTACGTAAGTGTTAGTATCGGAGTCGTACAGCTCCTCCGATTCGGCATCCTTCCATAGTAGGAAGTCATTTGTGTTTTCCACCACGCAAAAATCCATAATCTTCAAAGAGTGCAGGGTTAAAAAAAAAATTTACAGGTTAGATATGATAACAATTTGTCTATACGTATGGATGTACATATCGATCGAAATAAAAAGTGCAAAAATTGCGGTGGATATAGTTAGAATGGTACAAGATAAAACTCAATATACACACATCAGTCTCCATAATAAGGCATATGTGGTTAATCAAACATGCTTCGCTGGTAAGTCAAACACACACACACACACACATTTATATATATAAATATATATATATATATATATATATATATATGTAGATGTATATATATATAAATATATATATATGTATAAGTATACATATGTATACGTATACATATACATTACGTATACATATACATACACAAATAAATATATATATATA